CGTTGTATGAGTAGTAGAGAAGATGATGTGTAGGTATAGTGCCAATGCGACTGATTCAAAATGTCAGTTGAGCCTTTGAGCCAGTGTTCGCTTCAATCAAGCAGGGCATAATTCTCAAGTGTTTAGTTCGCAGAAGGAAAATTTTTCTGCATTTTAGTTAGGCTAGTCACCAAACTTTTGTTGTAAACACATGTTATGTAACTTATAATGTTTCAGTGCGACCCTCACCAGCGGTGACCAAGGCAGATGGATCACCACTGCCCACTGATTCATCTGGAAACTACGTCACCGAGGACGGAAAAACTGTTGAGAAGGACGAAGAAGGACGACCGCTTGGTCCTGACGGACAGGTGTTGCCAACAGATCAGACCGGAAATTACATTTATCCTGTTCTTGGACCTGATGGAAAACCGTTGCCTACTGACGAGCACAGAAGACCTATTCATCCGGTGTTTGGTCCCGACGGTAGTCCTCTACCAACAGATGAAACCGGACATCCAGTGGGAGAGGACGGGCAACCTATCCCAACAGATTCTAGAGGTGTGCCGTTAGACGAGGAAGGAGAACCCCTGCCAACTGACATCAGCGGTAAATATATCATTTCTGAAGAAGGCGAAGAAACACCAAGCCCGGGACTTCCAACTGACGAAAGCGGAAGTGTCATTTATCCCATTAAGAAAGCAGACGGATCCCCGCTACCTACTGATGCCTCTGGTAACTATGTGATGGAAGACGGGTCGGTCATTGAGAAAGATGAGGATGGTAGACCTGTTGGCCCTGACGGCACAGTGCTACCCACTGATGAGTCTGGCAGTTACATATATCCTGTACTGGGACCAGATGGAAGACCTCTGCCAACGGATGAACATCAGCGACCCATTCATCCAGTGTTTGGCTCTGATGGCAAACCTTTGCCAACGGATGTGTCAGGACGTGCATTAGGAGAAGATGGAGAACCCGTTCCCACGGATGCAAGCGGTCGTCCGATAGATAAGAACGGGCAACCATTGCCTACCGACAACAGTGGAAATTTCGTAAGCGTTCCAAGAGAAAAAGCCGTAGGCAAAGTGATGCCAACCGATGAGAGTGGTAATGTAATATA